ACTCTTCAGGCGCATGTGCATTAATGAACACCTTTTCCTTTCTCTGCCGTTAGAAGCAAGCTATATTGATAATTACTGGTGGAGAAGCAATTTTTATTAAACATTAACGGTGGAATGCAATTTTCTGGTGCAAAGTTTTCTGGGTACAAGTTTGTATTGAAAATTTCTGGTGTAAGATTTGCAACAATCTGCTGCATGGAGGGTCAAGCTAAATTGAAAATTCTTGATGTAAAAATTGCACAGTTCTGGTGAATGGAGGGGCAAGCTTTATTGAACATTTCTGTTAGAAAAACTACAACGTTTTGGTGGATGGACGGACAACTTAAACTTGACTTCCGAGAAGAACCTCAAGGGTATTGATGATTGTTCCAAAAGAAAAGATTTCTGGGGATGATTCCATGAAAATTCTGCGAATGATTTTCAGTGAATCTTGCAGATAGTTCCAAGATAATTTTGAAAAGAATACCGAATGAAATTTTGAATGAAATTACAAAGGTATGTTGGGGGAAATTTCAAGAAAATTCCGAGGATAATTTCAAGCTCATTTTAGGAAGAATTTCTGGAGAATTTAGAGAAAATTCTTTTAAAACTCTAGGGAAATTTCTGTTCCAATTTGTGCTGAGAAAAAAAAAGGTCTAAAATATTCCGAGAAAAACCTCAAGGATATTGAATTCTTAGGACAGTTCTTAAATATTTCTGGGTAGAGTTCAAAGAAAAATCTGTGGATAATGTGCAGTGCATCCTACTTCTAACTGACCGAAGATCTTCGGAAGAAGACTTGATATGAGAAGCTAATATATGGAGAACAAAATATAAATTTTTCTATAAGTTGGAAGTCCTCGAAATAATTTCTTATAATTCGGAAGAATTCCTGACCAATCTCATCTGATGTAAGAATATTCAAATGGCTTTATTTCAAGCTCATTTGCTCCTGATCAATGCTAAATTTTGAAAATACATTCTTACAGACCAAAGATAATCAGAAGGACTCCCGATCACTCTGATATGACCAGGGAATATATGGAGAACTCGGTTTCAATCTCCGATCGTAGGTCTTCGTATCATTTATGATAATTCGAATGAATTATTTATCAAGCTGACATTGTTGGATAGTATTCAACGGGTTACGGGTTAAATCAAATTTTGGATGATTTGAAAGTCTTCTATATGATTCCTGATCATTATTACATTTTGTAAATACATTCTTACCGACCAAAAATGTCCAGAACAATTTCTGTTCAATTTTATGGAAAAAGGATATATATGGAGAGCTCGATTTCAATTCTCCTTTTAATCGAAGGCCTTCGGTATAATATATGATAATTCGGAAGAATTCCTGATCACTTTGATATGATGAAGGAATATATGGAAAACTCGATTTGGATTTACGATCAGTCGTAGGCCTTTGATATAATGTATGATAATTCGGAAGAATTCGTGGTCAATTTGATATGGTCATGGAATAAGGAGAACTCGATTTCAATTTCTGGTCAGAAATAGTTTTTGTTTTAATAATTTCTGATAATTGGAAAGAATTCCTGATCAACCTAATTTGATTGAGATATATATGGAAACTCTGTTGCAATTGTTCTATTAGTCGAAGACATTCAATATAATTTCTGATAATCCGGAAGAATTTCTGAACACTTTTATAGGGTACATAGGGTACACATTATGGTGAACTCGATTTCAATTTCCAATCAGTCATAGGGTTTCCATATAACTTCTGATAATTCGGTAGAATTTCGAAATAATTCCTGATCATCCTTGTATTTTGAAATACATTCGAAATGCCTGAAGATCTTCAGAAGGATTTCTGATTAATTTGATATGTTGATGGAATATATGGAGAACTCAATTTCAATTTCCAATTAGTCATACGTGTTCGATATTAATTCTGATAATTTGGAAGAAATCCTGATGTGATGAGGGAACATATGGAGAACTCGATTTCAATTTCCGATATACTTTCTTATTATTCGGAATAATTCCTGATCAATATGATATGATCAAGGAATTAATTGAGAATTTGATTTCAATTTCCAATCAATCGAAGGGTTTCCATATAACTTCTGATAGTTTGGAAGAATTTCTGACCATCCTTGTATTTTGAAATATATTCTAACTGCCCGAATGTCTACAGAAGGATTTCTAATCAATTTGATGTGTTGATGGAATATATGGAGAACTCATTTTCAATTTCCGATTAGTCATACGTTTTATATATATTAGTCATACGTATTATTTATATAATTATTCGAAAGAATTAATGATCAATTTGATGTGATGAGGGAATATGCAGGATTCGATTTCAATTCCCGTACTTCCCGTTGTACTTCCTCTTCGATGCATCCGTTCGAAGTTTACAAAATGCCTTCAAGGCAGCTCGTTTGGATGACTTCAGTCGCTTGAGTCAGTGGTTGGTCCAAGGAGGGTTACTAGATATGAGTGGAGTTTTCATGGGTACAAACTGGTCGATTGCATACACGACAATATTCGAGAAGATAGAAGAGACAGCATTACGCGTCACGATCTCGGAGTTCATCGTCCCAGCTGATGTTTTCGAAAAAGGTTGCCATTCCCTCGAAGTCAGTCCTACGGTAGTCATACGATACACTGTCCACGGTAACCCGAAAAGTGCAAGCCTGATATAAGAGTAATGATGACTGCAGTGGTTCGGGTGCCTCTTGAACCGAGCAATTAGAGGCGAGTTCACGGCTAAGGAAACATAGAGATCCCGTTCGATTGCAGAAGATCAGCAGTATTGTAGCAATCTAGGAGAGATGCTACTAGAGGTGTAATGTATGAGCCATTAGAGCAAGGATGAAAGAACCCTGTTACATTCAATGACCAGTTGACTGAAGCAAGATTGAAATCACCAACAACAAGGATTTCGTCAGTCGCATTCATCTTGGATACAACCCAAAAAAGTGAATCCAATGTGTTGATCGATCAACTCAGAATCGCCAAGTCGATCCGGGGGTAAATTCAACACGCAAATGAAGACCACTTTCAACGGTAGGGTAACAGCCACCCACACCTGTTCGACACCTGAGCTATTAGGTGGATGAAGTAACCGAGAGTTGAAAGTAGAACGAACTGCTAGCAAGACACCACCGCCGGAAGCTTTGGGGCTAGTCGCTCGAGAACGATCAGTGGACCGTAAAATCCGTACTAAATATTAGCTTAGAAAGTGAGTTGCTGTTCAACCAAGTTTCGGTGAAGGCGTACATATCGTAACAAGCATCCGAGCAGGCCAATTTGTACTCAGCTATAGCTGTATTCATGCCTTCAACGTTTTAGTAATACAGCAATATTTCAGCTCCCTGAATCCTGGATGCGTTATGGTTGTCATTACCCAAGCAACATTGTTAGTTTTTTCGAGGTTTTAAAGCAATCTACAAGACTAAATCATTGTCTACAGAACCCTCATAAAACCAGAAATGTTACTTGGGTAGAGTCATCATGGTGGGGATTGATTGAAATTGTCGAGGGACTATGTACGGATGTGTAGTGATCATTTCCCGCTTCGGCAGGAAATATACTGTTCGTGCAATTACCTGAGAAACCAAGCTCAGTGACTTGAGCATTGCAATCAGAGTCATCCTGGTGAGAAGTGGCTGAAACTGCGAAAGGACTTTTTACGAAGTGATCATTTCGTGCTTCGGCAGGACATTTACAATTTGCGCAATTATCTGAAAAAACAAGCTCAGTAGCGGATCGCTACTTCCGAAGGCGTGGCTCGAATGGGACAACGCTGACATAACTGAGCCAGAATCCATTTTTGGTAACGGTGTTAGTGAAAATTGGGTTATCCAAAACTAGTACTTTGAAGGATACAAAGCTCAAAGGACGTCCCTTTCTAGCAGCGGGAGTTAGCGGTTGCCATCGGAACGAAGTTTTAGTCCAGCCGGTTTTGCCTCATAAAGCAGTGGTAGATTTGTAACCAACTTCTCAAAAATGTGTGACTATATCCATGGAATGATAAAAAAATTGGAAGTCATCTATAGTATAATCATTCCAGTTCTTGTTTTTTTTTTTCTTACTTGAGTTATGCCTCAGAAAATCCTGACGGCACCGACTGGGATTGAACTCAGACCCCTTGGGGTGAGAGGCAATCACTCTTATCACTATACCAGCGGCGCTGCTATTCCAGTTCTTTTTAATATCCGTTTGAAAATTAGATGTAACGTTCGGGTTGTGCTTAGTCGGACGGAAATATTATCGAAACCCGACGTAAAGTTCATCGCATTAACTTGTCATCCATGTTTAACGCTTCATATGAAATACTTTACTAAGTACTTAATTAATTTTACAAGCCAATTCTTGCAATCGGGCGGCAATCAAATAGCACGAAATGGCTATGATAATCTGGATGATCGAATTCAGACGAGTGGTTTGATTTTGTCCACTGGTGGGTCTTCCAAAGTAGTAAAATCGACACATTTTTATTAAACTCGAAAATAATTTCATTGAAAATGTAATCGATTTTTCTTTCCAGCCGGACTAATTAAACCAAATTTAATCGCCTATTTGTGTGCTCATTGATTAAGTTTGATCAAAATAAACGATCTAACAATGGTGTCCTCAAGTCAATTCACCTACTTACCAAGCGATAACGTTTGTCCATTAAAATTTATATCGCAAAACATTAGCCTAAACTTGATTCAAACTAAAAAAAAAAAAAACAGCCATCCCATGCAACTAGCCAAACATGAACAATATGTGTTTTAGACTTTTTATTTTCGTGCTTAGCTTTGCTTTCATCGCCCCCACATACCGAGCAGCAGTGGATGGAAAAATGTTTCAAAAGGGAAAAGCCTTTTTCCCTGCTGCAGTGCCTTCGCGTGTCGATATCGCTGCTAATTAATCCAATTTGAAAGCATTTTCTTCGCTTGCTATTGCTGGAGCCTGCATGATGAGTGGGTGGTGGGTGGCTGGGTGGTCGAGGGCATATCCGATCGTTTATGAGTAGCCGAGATGTTCCGTCTCGTTCATGCCTACGAAGCCCTAGCGGTGGTGGGTGGCTTATCAGTTTTCGCGGATTTGCGATTCCATCGATCCTTTGGCCGAGTGGAGGGGGCTCCGGTGTGCACCAAGTGTGAAATGGATAAAACTCGTTGTAATTTCTAAAAATCTATCATTTTATTGCTTCTTAGTGTTTAGTGATAACATACGATAAGAGACGGAGGAGAGCTACAAATGAGCAGCAGATAAAAAGTGTGCGTCCACCGATCCCGTTTTGAACAGTTACCAACGACTGTTCGAGGACTTCAGTTCGGCCTCTGAGTAGCCTTTGCTGTGCGTTGAACGTGTGACAGTGCGAGTGGGTGCAAGTGCTCCCGGGGGTCTCTGAAGAGTGTGGGACAGTGTGTTATAAGTAAAACAAAAATAGCCAAACAAAAAATAGCCAAAATGTTTCTGAAAAAAGTGGTCTCGATCCTGGTCATCTGCATAGTGGCCCAGAGTGCACTGGCCGAAGAAAGCAAGCCGACGGAGAATGTTCTGAACGAGCTCAGCTGGTCCTGTGCCAACAACGCAACCTGCGTCGCCCGAGTGGCCCGCGATGTGGTGCAGAAGCTGAAGAACGGAAAACCACTGGACTTTGGAGCGTTCGCGATCGAACCGGTTGAACACATCCCGCTGACCATCGAGGGCCGTTCGTCCCGGGCTCTGGACTTCCTCAGCAGCAATGCGCTCAAGTTCCCGATCGGACCGATGGTCGTCAACATCGAACGCTCCTCCGACTATCCCAACTTTATCGAGGTCTCTTTGCTCAGAAAGGCCGATGGTGAGTTCTGCCCTTCCTGTGATTTGTGTGTGTGTTTGTGACTGTGATTGATCCGATTATTTTTTCTTGTTTCGTTTCGTTTACAGGAGCACGAGGCAGAAACCGCAAGCACATGCGCTTCTTCGTGCCAGCATTCTTGGTCTTCAGCCAAATCGGCTGGTATGCGCTCGCCATCGCCGGGGTCAAGCTGCTCGCGATTAAGGCCTTTTTAGTCGCCAAAATTGCCCTAATTGTCGTTGCAGTGATGACCTTCAAGAAACTCATGGAACCAGTCGCGTAAGTGTTTGATGAATGTGTGGGCCGATTTTTAGCATTATGGGTGAAATTTTTCCAGATTTGATAAATTTTGAGGAAATCTGGTTTGATGAAATTGAATAGATAACCTGTTTTTCCTGCAAGCTAATAACAGATGCTGATTCAAAGAAAATTGATCTGAATTATTGCTGCAGTCGCCATACCCCATTATTTGTTTAAGCTGAATTGAATTTAAAAGTACTTAGCTTCAGCTCAATCATCGCATTTTTGCTGATTTTCCTAGAGAAATTTTCATAACTTTCATGTAACATTTGAATTTGAAAGTCACCTTCTCACATGCTGCTTGTATTGTTATATTTAAACGATTTCAAACCCGGTCTTTGCAAACAAATAGTTGACAAAAGTAGCAAGTTTATCGAATTTGAAATATCTTGATCAGAGATCTTCCTAAAACGCTTATTAGTGCATCAAACTATAGTATCACGTGGGCAATTAGAGAGCTTTTTTGGTTGTTTGGGTTTTATGAACCAACACAAATCAAATTAAAAATCATGATCACAACAAACTTCGACCAAAACTGGGTCCAGATAAAATGGATCATTTCAAATATTTTTGCGAAAGGCTTAAACTGTCCAACTTTCGATGATTGTGATTTACTTAAGACTTATCAAAACGCACCAGAAATTACAATTAGTGGGTGATAAGTCTCCCACTAAGAAGTACCATATACTTGTTACCCATCAATAATGAAGACAGATATTGTAAGTGAACATCATCTTTAAACAATTCAAAACGGTATCAACACGACAAATTAGCGAAAATTAGTGAAAAGATAGCTTAAATTGCAACAAAATTGATCTAAATACCAAATCAGCCTAAGAAATGCAAGAAAAACGTGGAAATTAAATACATGAAATATCCGAGCCAGTGCTGATAAAACCCATTTGTTCTACACCCAACTTAGCTGAAAATGAAGACAACCTTAACAGATAGACCAACTACCTACAAAATTTTGACACAGCATGCTGTAAGAAAAAAGTACCCAAACTTGAGTTCCTTTCACTCATCACGTGGCTTCCGTGGGGCTAGGTAAAATTAAGTTAAAGAAGAAAACTCAATTTTGAGTAATCCTGGCGTTGACCAAGTTGACAAAAAAATAATAAAACGGAGCAGACTGGAACCGAACCATGGACGTTGAGATTACGGGGCCCGTGTGTTGACCACTCGTCTATCAACGCTTGTGAAAATGAAATGGTTAAAGGCGCATAAAAGCAACCTCAATGAAAATAAACTTATATTTGAGTTCACTTATTATTACTCAATAGTTGAGTAAATTTTAACCAACGCCGCTTTTCTGATTCACTCAACGGCGGACCTCAAATGATAGAACCCAACATTGAGTTTTTTTAAACTTAATTTTGAGTATTTTTTTCTTACCGTGCAACATTCTCTTGATCAAGGCAACCTCTGAGTATCGAAGTAAACATGTCTATACAGAGCTGGAAAAAGGGCCTATCTGCTTTGATCGATTCTCTTCATCGACTTTCTCTTCCGTTAATAACTCAGTTGCATCAGCATTTCCTGTTGTATTTGACGATTTGGACTATATGTGGCAAAAATAACACGAAAACTGTTTGCATAGCCGTGGTTATCAAAAGAGAAAGTCGATAAAGAGAATCAAGTCAAGCAGATAAGCTCTTTTTTCAGCTCTGTATAGATTTGTTTTTCATCATTCGTGGCTGGATGTTCATTATCGTCTCTGTTGATGTCAATAATAATATTCGTCTTAATTTTGGTGGGGATGATTTTGAGGCTCAAATGCAGAATGATTATTTTCATTTTACACAAATAGAGCGCTGAAGAACGTGTCGTGTTGATTTTTACACACAGATTGATGGCAAATTATTGCCTCATGCTGAATTGATGATAATGTCAAGGACAATATTCAAAATAATAATTTTGCCCAAAATGAATTTGATTATTTTGCTTTTGAGGAACGCTTCTGATTTTGACCATTTTTGATTGGATAACCAAGCACTGGTTAAAGAACGCGTATTCGGTGATGTATAATGAACTCATTAGTTCATTTCGCTCGTACGTGACAACGAAGATTTTCAAAACAAACGCAATGCATCTACACTGGGTGGAAGCGCTACTCCTTGCTTGTGATGGTAAATGAAAAAAACACTGATGAAGCCTCAACATGATAAAATATTTTAAAAATCATCGAAACCCGGACCATTTAACAACGCCAAAATGATCTAGAAATGCTAATAATGGAAACTTCAAAATTGGCCGAAATTGCCTCGAAACACTAGAATAATAATTTAAAACGCAGAGCTGTAATTGAAATGAGTTGTCGGTCGTTGACTAACTAATCATGAAAACTTCAAAACAACCTTAAACCATCTTGGACCCTAAAAACACCAAGACTGGATCGCTAAAATTGCCAAAAACTTCTCCTGCATAAAATGGCCTGCTTAAACGGGAAAAAACAACTCTGATATTCAATTAAAAAAGTGCCATAACCAACCTTGAAACTTCTAAAAACCCCTAATTCATTGCAAAAATGGCTTTGAAATGCCTTAATATATTTTTTTATACTCCAAAATATTTTATCATGCCGATTGATTATGGTTGCGAAAATTGAAATGCTCTCTATCAATTTGGTTGAGACTTCCAGCATAATTTAAATAATTTAAGTGCTTAATCCCAATCTGAATTCCTGCAACTTATCCACCCGACAGGATGGGTCTCGGCTAATAGATTGAGAAAAGCAGGCTTAAAGTTATTGTAAAGTCCAAAAATATGAAGGCCCTATGATATTTGAAAGATCAATTGTTCATACTAATGTTCTACCAATTTGTATGGACCGTAGACACACGCCTTCCTTCTGCTAAAGCAGTATACGTAGTTTATGGTGGGCCCTTAACAGATAACTTCAGAGTATTATATTTCAATGAAAGTGCTGCAATTTTTAGCCACTGAAATGTGTCACTTTGACATGATTTTGACTCAATTTGTAACTTTTAACATTCATTGTCATACGAAATCTGATAGTTTGCTTATCGGATTTAGTAGGATAGAGAACTACTTCGGCCTTATCGCCCATTTTGGGCCTATCGAGCAGAAAACTTCAAATAAATCCATGATTTCAGAGTTAACAAGTCAATTATGCATTTGGCACGATACTTTAGTTAATAAGCTACAGAACGAAGTCAATGAGAACGCGTGATATGAATGTTTGCAACCATTATTCCCAAAAACAAAAGAAGCGCTCCGACCGAATCAATTTTTATCTCCATCGGATAGGCCGAAGTGAATTTATTGGTGTTTCTAACGCCGAGTTTAGAATCCGTAGGCCGAGTTTGGCGTCAAGAAGCAGTGTTAGACTTTTGACAATACCTCAACGATTGTTTTCTCTTCATCAAATCTTTTGGTATGTTTTGAAAGGTAAATATATTTGGAAGCCATCAGAAATAATAACATTCCGTTTGGTGCTAAACTGCGCTAGATTAAGAAATACTAAGTGCGAGTTGTGCTTAATAGGCAGAAATGGGGTAGTTAACCCTATTTAAACTCATAGGCAAAGCATTGCTAACAGCGTGATTTAATGCCCTGATTGTCATTTAAATCCGAGAGGGACGTCACATCTAAATCTCAATTCTAGATGCTCGAAAAATCTCACACTAGCGAATCAATCTTCCAAAAATCTTCTTTCATTTCTCGCATCTACTTGCATCGAACATTAGAGAGGGTCTAGTATAAGAGAGGAGCGCACTGGTCTATTTTGAGCCAAACAAACTGTCAAAGCCATAGCCAATCGAGCAGCGCCTATCTTGATTACATTGGCAGTGTTGCTAGAAGTCACCTAGGCATAGGTTGCCAAGGTCGTTTGTTTTGAATCCGCTCCTCTCTTATACTAGACCCTCTCTATCGCACATCGTCTTTTTGGAGGAAATCTTCAGATCGTCATCAATCTTCTTTCTATCTACTCATTGTGTGCACAGCTAATCTTTCCTGCATCGTTGATAGAGTCGTTACCTCGCTTAAAACGAACATTTTGTTCTGCTAAAAACCTTAGTAAGGGAATATACGTATTCTCGTCACACGTTGTGTCCGAAATGGCAGATTAATTAATTTTCATGTACATCGGTTTTGTCTTCACCAAAAGTTAGTTTGGGTTCTCACATTCACAAATCAGTTCATTTTAAAATATTCGCTCGGGGAAAATTTTAAGTATTAATATTTTAAAACCAATTTAACAAACTCACATTCGGTGAAGAAAAATCGGATGTACATGAATGTTGATTAATCCCCCACTTCGGACATGACGTGCGTCATTCTACACGGTAAGAGAAAAGTACCTAATTTTGAAGTTCTCTTAACTCATCTCGGTACTTTTGTGCGGGAAGCAGGAAGTAAGTAAGTGTACAATTCGTTTGGAATTTCCCACTACCAGTCTACCCAAAGTAAGTTAGCTGTATCCAAAAGTAGGCAATCAACGTTGGGTTCCCACACTTTACTTTTCCTACCCCATTTCGGGTGGTTTTAATCTTGTGTTTTTGACAACATTAGAAGAAGTTGAGGAGACGAACAGATAGATAGAGCTGGAATTAGGATGTAACAGCTTTCGTAAACAATGACTTCTTTTGATGATTTCTAGAAAGTTAAGGCTTGCCACCGCAAATCGACAACACCTCCGGGTAGGGGAAGACTTCTCCTACCCGACGGTTATGTTGGTTTGCGAGGGTGTGCCTTGAGTTCCTAGAAAACACAGATAGAAGTCATTGTTTACAAAGGCTGTTACGCCCTTATTCCAGCTCTATCTAGAGTTGTCCCATTCGTTAAAACAGCAAGCTGTGAATAACGCTGTTGTAGATTTTTTTTCAATATGGACTCTTATGGATGGGACAACATAGCTTTGGTATTTGTTGCGCAATTTTTAGATCAAAGTAAGAAACTTATCGAGTGCACTGTAAATTGAAGGTACTTGAAAATCGATTCTAATGTATAAATCA